TCTGCTTCTCCCTCTGACCTTCCTCCTTCTCATGCTCTCTGTCTCTCATTCTCTCTCTCTCAAATAAATAAATAAAATCTTAAAAAAAAAAATAATACACTAATGACCTAAATAAATATGTAGATATTTACATTCTAAACCACTATTGTGGTCCTTAAGGACCACTATATACAAGCCATCTGAAAGAGCTTGAGAACCCAGTGAAGTCTGGACCAGTGTTGAGGGAATTAAACATGAGTGGTTTATATGTGAAAAGGGTAACACCACCATTTCTATTGCCTGGTACTGGTCAGCATCTTAGCCTTGAAAACATATTCAGATGAGGCTTGGTCTCAGTTTCCACCTGTGGCTTTATTCTTCTCTATTTCTGCTAGCAGAGAAAAAGGATGAATGGGAACCGGGAAGTTAAGAATGAAATCTCCCTCTGTCCCTAATCCTACCCAAATCACGGGAGTATTTTTCTTAGCGATGTAGGGAATCCAGGAGGTGCACTGAATACAGGTCAGCAGCAAAACAGAGCGTTGCCTGTGATCCTTTCTTCTAAGAGAGTGGGGCCATGGTCTGACTATTCCCTTCTGTTCTCCCTTCTCTCGCAGCACCCTGGAAGGGTATTATGTGGACGATGCCCTGCAGGGCCAGGGAGTGTACACTTATGAGGACGGGGGCGTTCTCCAGGGCACATACGTAGACGGAGAGCTGAATGGGCCCGCCCAGGAGTATGACACGGATGGGAGATTGATCTTCAAGGGGCAGTACAAGGATAACATTCGGCATGGAGTCTGCTGGATATACTACCCAGTAAGCCTGGTGACTGTTCATTTTGCTGGAACGTAACATGGGTTAAGCCAATGCTTTGGCTCCTGGCAATAAAGAGTAAAATGTAGCCTCTGTGTTAGAAAATGTGAAGCTGTGAAACTTGAGAGTCACAGGAGCTGAAGCCACCAGCTTCTGAGGTGTGCCCCTCACTGTTACTCACTATCCTCTTAGATTGTTGATCCTCACAGCTACTATTCATTCCTCCTCGGTGTTGTTTTGGAAAGGAATGGATAGTCATGATTCAAACAAATTGGGACAAAATGGCTTTATTGTACCACTAATAAAGACAAAAATGTATGCTTTTTAAAAATATTCTTTTGGGGGGCACCAGGGTGGCTCAGTCGTTTAAGCATCTGCCTTCAGCTCAGGTCATGATTCCAGGGTCCTGGGATCGAGTCCTGCATCGGACTCCCTGCTCAGCGGGGGTCTGCTTCTCCCTCTCCCCACTGCCTGCCGCTTATCCTGCTTCTGCTCTCTCTCTCTTTCTCAAGAAAATAAATAAAATCTTATATATATATATATATATATTCTTTTGGTATATAGAAAGAGTTGGTGGAATATTCCATTGTGTTGCTATTAATTTTATTCTGGTTCTCATACAGGAGAACTGATCCAACAATCTCCCATCTTTTGGGACTTACTGCACTGTTATTACTTGATTTTACAACCCTATTCCCTACTTTATAAGTGATTTATGGCTTATGTTGCTTAAATTAAGGTAATTAAAATTAACTTGCCTTTGAGTATTTGATAACATTTTCCAATATTTCTGGAGTTTACTAGAGCAAATGATGTGGCAGAACCCATTGGCTTGGGAATTAATGCTCTAATTGTTGTTTGCATTTCAAATATCCCATCTGTTATTAGTGAATTTTCAGAAAATATGTCAGAAAATAGACCTTAGAAAATATTTTATCTACTATTTTATTTTGTCCAGGGCACCTAGCTCATTGTGTCAATAAAGCATGCAGCTCTTGATCTTAGGGTCATGAGTTTGAGCCCCGTGTTGGATATAGAGCTTACTTTAAAAAAAAACAAACTAAAAATAACAATAGTAATATTTTATTTTGTCCAGAGCTTGAGTCAAAATACAAGACAATTTTTCTTACTCTGAACCCTATCTTCTTATGATTAAAAAAACGTTAATAAAAACAAATGATCTATTGCATGTGTAGTAAGAAAAGTAGCCCCAGCTAAATCTACTTACACATTATTGTTCTTTAAAAACAAGTTATACTCTAGGAACAGGGCTTAAGGAAAGAATACTGTAAAACATTTTTAAAATAGTTACCAAAGCAGTTACATATCTTCTTGGTAGGCTCTGTGATAGATCAGGAGTCCTTTGGGTTACTGCCCATAAGGCAGGCAGGAAGAGGGACGTTGTGGAGGTACTTACCAGCTTAGGAAGACTGAGACTTCTGTTGCCTCATGAGTAGGCCGGTTGAGCATCTTGCTGACTGGGACTGGGGATCTGCTGACATGACAGTGAATCATGAAGTCAGAGAAAGTGGAACCCTCTGCGGGAGGCTGGGTATAGGAAAGAGGCCTCCTCCTACCTGTCATCTTCCTTGTGACTATGATCAATTAAAGTCTCTAGAGGAGATCAAAGATGCACCAAGGTGAATGGCTCCATTTCACTCTGTAGTTGCATCTTGACACCTAAGTGGTGCACCTACATTTTATTTTAGTCTTTGGTGTTCATTATTATCTTATTAAATGCCAAGAGAAGACTCTGCCTTAGGAAAGAAGCACTAGGGAGTTATGAGCTTCCAAAATTAACTTGGGATAACACTTGCTTTATATATGGTATCTGTTGGCAGTTGAGGGGGCTGATCACACCCCTCTTCTCTCTGGATTCAGAATCAACTAAGACACCTATGTCTCCAGGTGTCAGAGATCAAGATGGTTATATTATAACAGTAGTGGGGGTTTGGAGATGTGATGTGGACCCAAAGTCAAAATGGGCTTCTGTTCTTTCCCCGTCTGAACTAAACAGTTGGACCAGCGGCAGATAGAGCTCTAGAAAGTTGCAGGCTGCCCCCCGGGGGAGTAGGGCCTGCCTGGGGAGCTTCCCCAAAGAGAGAACAGGAGAGGGCAACAGGTGCAGCCTGCCGGACCCGCCAGCTCCCAGGACAGCGTGCGTGAAAATGTCGCAGGACCTCTGGGAGCAGCAGGCTTTATCCTGCTAACCCCCACCCAATGAAGAGATGGGTGTCAGTGGGTGTCAGACTCTGCCTTCTCACTAATCAAAGGAATGATTCCTTCTCCCATGAAGAGGAGGCACTGAGCAGAGGAGAGAAGGTAGCAGCTTCCTCCCCGACACTCCCTGACACAGCAGACAAGGACGTTTTTGTGATACAGAGTCAAAGCAGGAACAAGAAGAGGGAAAATAATGATTCGCCTTATACTATTTATAAGCTTACTCTCAGGACAGCTTATTTCTTTCAGAATGATGTCACTTGGGTGGCTCCGTTAGTTAAGTGTCTGCCTTCCACTCAGCTCATGATCCCGGGGTCCTGGGATCAAGTCCCACATCCAGCTCCTTGCTCGGCAGGGAGCTTCTCTCTCTCCTCCCCGCTTATGCTCTCTCTCACTATCTCTGTCTCTCTCTCACAAATAAATAATCTTTAAAAAAAATGTATACCTCCTTTGGGAAATAAAAGAAGAAACTCTGCTTTATCATACTAGACAAATAGATTCATCGCCTCCCTGACCAAAAGTTTAAAGTACTTAAGGAAAAAAAAAAACCGTGAGAGCCTAGAAAGACAGAATTATGCACAAATAAGTCGAGACATTGGCTTACATTAGTTACGGCATGTTAGACGCACAAATGCTCTAACGCCCTTCAGCTCAGTAATCACCACTGAAAGCTTGAAGGCAGATCTCGCAGAAAGTATCATCCCCATTTATGCTGGCTTATTCAGAATTAACTCTGGGAGGAGAAAGAGCAATCATATAGCTCTAAGGCACTTTCTATGCGTTAAAAATGCTGCCAAGTATTTTTCTGTCTATGAAAATGCTGTGGTTCGTTTTAAAACTTATAAACTTTTTCCTCCAAAGAGCAATTAGACTATGGTGAGCTGTAGAAATCAGGTACCTGATGTTATTTATTCCTGCTGTCTCTCAGTAAGCAGCATTTGAGATCACTCAGAAGTCATCCTACACCATTGACTTTGAGTAGCTGTTTCTAGAACCTTTGATTTGGAGAAATAACCAAGCTTTTAGAAGATGTCATGGCATTAGTATTGTTATATTGAACCCACATAGGTCTCAGATTTTCAGTTATACCATAAAGACCTTCTGCATGGGGGGTGGAGGAGGAAACATTGCTTGTACCCTAGATCCAATTATTTTTTGATTATTTATTAGATTATTTTTTGGTATCCCATTTCAATTCAAAAGTCATTTATGGATCACCTGCCGTGTCCCTAGCACTTACCAGGATACAGAATTCTTTTTTTTTTTTTTTAAGATTTTATTTATTTATTTGAGACAGAGAGAATGAGAGAGACAGAGAGCTCATGAGAGGGGGGAGGGTCAGAGGGAGAAGCAGGCTCCCCGCCGAGCAGGGAGCCCGATGCGGGACTCGATCCCGGGACTCCAGGATCATGACCTGAGCCGAAGGCAGTCGCTTAACCAACTGAGCCACCCAGGTGCCCCCAGGATACAGAATTCTATCAGAGCCTCTGCCCTAAAGTATTTAATGACCCTTAGGAATGAAAGCAAGTGACAGTTAAGCAGGAAGCACAGCTGGCTTCGCTCCTGGAAGGAGACAGAAGGAGCAGTAAATAAAAGTGGGAAGAAAGAGATGATGGGGAAGGGAATAGAATTTAGCTGATTTTTTTTTTCATTTTTCCTTGTAATGCCATTAAAGTGACGGTGTAAGATTCTCGGAAAGGCAGTGTCCACAAGTCCTTTTGTTTATCTCCTAGAACATGCAGACAACTCTCTTTAGTCATGTACACTAAGTTAATTCTTGAATACATTTGAACTAAAGATTTTCTTAGTAGACCAGAAATCCAAAATCCCACATGGAGAAGAAGTGAGATGGTATGAAAGCGGGTAAAACCATCTTGCTATAGATCCTCATCACATTGGAAATGGGCCCACAGTTTAAAACATAGTTACATTTCCTTTAAATATTTGTAACTAATATTACAAATACAATGCATTTGCTTCTTAGATAACGAACCAAAATAGAGTAACTTGTCAGGATTATAAAGTGCGGCTCAGTCTCTGACTCCCTAAATCAGGCTTCTGTGCTTCTATGAGTGTAACTTCTAGCAGTTTATTTGTATGGGGCTGCATGGGGAGGTATGCATCATGTTGTTCTCACATGAAAGCTTTGAGTTCAACTGTTAATGTTAGCGCTATCAATGATGGGAGCACGCAAGAAAAAGTCCTTGAAGTCGTGTCATATAGATAAATACTACATATAATATTTTCTGGCTTTTGGTTTCTCCCATCAGGATGGAGGCAGCCTTGTGGGAGAAGTAAATGAAGATGGGGAGATGACTGGAGAGAAGATAGCCTATGTGTACCCTGATGAGAGGACAGCACTTTATGGAAAATTCATTGATGGAGAGATGATAGAGGGAAAACTGGCTACCCTTATGTCCACTGAAGAAGGAAGGCCTCACTTTGAGCTGATGCCGGGAAGTAAGTTGGATCTGCTTCAGATGGGCTGCTCCAGTTCCAAAGCAGGCTGTTAGGGCATATTTGAGAGAAATTTATTTGTCTAGTCCACTTGAATCGTGTATTAATAATCAGCCTTGCTGCATAATAGACATGTCCTCGAATACAGGTCTGCTGACGAGCTGTACTCAGCTGGGTCAGGCTGGGCTGGGCTGGACATGGCTGGACTTGAGAGGCTTCTTACCTTATTATGCCTTATAGGTCTTAATTCTGGGGCCCAGTCTGAAAGGACTGTGGTGACCTAGGTCAAGATTTTCCCAAGTGGGTCCAAGAAGCCAGAGCATGAGTAGACACCTAAGCTGCTTCTGAAAGCTTAGCTTGAAATGGACATGATGTCACTTTCAGGCACTTTTCATTGGTCAAAGCAGATTGCACAGCCAAGCCAAATATCAGTGAGATGGGGAAATAGATACCATGCATTTCAGTAGCAGATGCTAAAAAGTCACATGATAAAGGCATAGCTATATATTCTAATACAGGGAAGAAGTGAAGAAATGACAGCAGTAATTCAATGCATCTCAAGAGGTTGGATCTCAGAAAAAACTGAAATACAGTTTAATGATATTAAAGAATCAAATTAGGTAGATCTCCAGGTTGGTACAAATTGTAAAGCTGATTCAGCCTGAGCTCTGATTTGGAAAGATAAATGCATGTTGGCATCCCCTGCCTTCTTCAGAGCCCAGGATCTTCACGGGGCACATACTGGATACATGAGTGAGCCCAGTGGAATCCATATTAGAAAAAAATCCTTTTTCCTTTTAGAAGTACAGTATGGCATACTAAGCATTTTTTTTTCTGAGTATAAAATTATTTATTGGGGGCTTCTGGGTGGCTCAGTCGTTAAGCGTCTGCCTTCGGCTCAGGTCATGATCCACAGGGTCCTGGGATCGAGCCCCGCATCAGGCTCCCTGCTCCACGGGAAGCCTGCTTCTCCCTCTCCCACTCCCCCTGCTTGTGTTCCCTCTCTCGCTGTGTCTCTCTCTGACAAATAAATAAATAAAATCTTTTAAATAAATAAATAAATAAATAAATAAATAATTTATTGTAGAAAGTCTGGGAAGAAAACCAGGAAAAAAACCAAGATTTTGTATTTTGGGTAGCATAACAAACGAAATCTGTTTAAATTGGTCTCATTCCTTGAAAGCAATGTGTGCATATATGTCCCATCTAAGTTAGGTTATACGGAGAAAAAAAGCAGAGAAGATAATAAATCTATGCTAAATAGTCCTAAATAATATTTAGCTATTTGTGATCTGAAGGAGAATCTCCAGAGGAGAATGTCCAAAACTAGGAAATCTAGCATTTACACTTAGGTCTAACTTGGTTGTTTTAAATGTCTCAGTTTTTGTTTTCTTAAGTTAAAAATTGAGGCAGCCTAAATGCAATGTGGGATTATGGATTGGATCCTGGAACGGAAAGAAGGCATTAGTGGAAAAACTGGTGAAATCTGAGTAAAGTTTGAAGTTTAGTTAATAGTAACGTATTTATGTTGGTTTCTTAATTTTGACAAACATACCATGTAACATTAAGAAGTTACCATTACAAGAAACCGTGAGGAGTATTGGGGTGCTCTGTACTACCTTTGCAACTTTTTTTTTTTTTTAAGATTTTATTTATTTGACAGAGAGAGAGACAGCGAGAGAGGGAACACAAGCAGGGGGAGTGGGACAGGGAGAAGCACGCCTCCCGCCGAGCAGGGAGCAGGGGCGGGGGAAGGGGCAGAGGAAGAGGGGGAAGCAGACTCCCCCACAAAGCAGGGAGCCCAATGTGGGACTCGATCCCAGGACCCCGGGATCATGACCTGAGCCGAAGGCAGTCGCTTAACCAACTGAGCCACCCAGGCGCCCCATCTTTGCAACTTTTCTGTAAATCTAAAATCATCCCAAAATGAAAAGTTTTAAGTGAAACAGTCATCTTTGCACTTCAAATTCTACTCTCTGTGCTCTTCACATATGTTCTGAACGGAGACAGTGCTACCGTGTTTAGCAGTGAGGGGCCCCAGGCCAGGGGAGGATCCCAATGGGTGATGCCCATTTTAAAACTTAAGCAGTGGCAGCATGTTTTAGTGGCAAGAGCCACGTGAACTTGAGAGTCACCTGATTTGGGTTTCAGCTTCAACATTTACCGTACTATGGTCTTGGGCAAGTTATTTATCCCTTTGGAACCTATTTCTTCATTATAAAACACAGATATTGGCACCTTGAGCCACGTTGTCCGTATTTTAGGCTTTGTGGGTCTCTGTTGCAACTGCTCAGCTCTGCTTTTGTCACCCCAAAGCAACAGCATAAGGGAAGTTACTGTTCTCTTTACGTTCTTCTTGGTGTGAGTAAGCAACAGATTTTGGGAAGCGAGGGTGATAATTCTCAAAGGGTTATTTTTCTTAGAACTCCTGGTTGTGGGACACCTGGGTGGCTCAGTCAGTTAAGCATCTGCCTTCAGCTCATGTCATGATCCCAGGGTCCTGGGATCGAGTCCCACATTGGGCTCCCTGCTCTTTTGGGGAGTCTGCTTCCCCCTCTTCCTCTGCCCCTTCCCCCGCCCCTCCTCATGCTCTCTCTTACTATCTCTCTCTCTCTCCCTCAAATAAATAAATAAAATCTTAAAACAAACAAACAAACAAACCTCCTGGTTGTAAATAACAAACACCCTCTTCACCTTAACTTAAGACCACAAAAAAGGTGGGGAGGAGGCACATGATTCTTGGCAAGATTCTGGTAGGACTGTTAATTTGAGGACATGTTGAGCAGTTTGGGTTTCACAAGCATCAGGAAGCATGGCTGCTTCGGGTGCCTGGGAGGAACATGGGCCTTCGGTTTGGGGCACTTCTCGCCTACCCCCCAGCCCCTCTCAGTTACAGTGAGTGAGCTGTGGACCAGGCCTGACGGGGCCCTGCCACCATCTGGTCCGGCGTGGGGAGGAGAAGGAAAACGTAAGGCAAATATCCCAACCTGCCCCTCGCTGACCTCTCCCCACACCCTTTCTCTTTGTGCTTCTGTAACCGCAGACTGTTTCTAGTTATCCACTCCTGCATGCTGATTTCCTCGTCAGGGCTCAGGCTGGACTTTCTTCCTGCCTCATCTCTTTCCCTCTCCGCAGAGGAACTCCTTTCTCTGGTAATTCCTGTGCTGTCTTTAAGGCTTAGAATTCATGTCTGTCAAGGAAATGAATGAATTCTGGTCTGGCGTAGTATAAATTACAGAGGAGAGGAGGATAAGTAAAGAGTGTGCTCCGTGTGCCCAGAGCCTTGGCCCATTGGCCAGTGGGGGAAAAACAGGAAGGGACAGCGTGTGTCGGAAAAGATGGCGTCAGCTCCTTGAAGGCAGCCGGAGATGTCCCTCCTGTTTGCATCTGTACCGTCCCTAATGCGGGGCTCTCCATGTAGCTGGCCCATCATTACATTGTGATGACAGGTTTAGTCTAAGGAAGGGAGGGGGAAGTTCAGAGGAGATTTTCTGCACAATAGAACAAGTATTTCACAGATAAGTCTGGTTAAAAAGTGTGGGTTTTTTCTTTTTTCAGCTAACTTGCTTTAACGGATTGTGCGTTGGTCCATTACCAGTTTGCTCTCAGATGCATTTCTCGTCCTTCTCTTGCCCTATTTTATTGCAGGGGGGCTTCTGCTCCTTGAAGGCCACATTGCCTAGGCCCTTGTGCGTTGGCTTCTGTCTGAGTTTGGCCACAGGGAGGCACTGGCCAGGGCCATGGAGAGGAAAGGCATGAGGAAGAAGCTCTCTCTCTGTGTCCAGCAGCATCTCCAGCAGGGGCCTGTCTCCTGACTCCATCTCCCACCAGGAAGGTCCCCCCACATCCCAGCTTCCCTGGGCCGGTATACCCCAGCTCTAGAGGCCCGGGCACACCACCTCCACCTTTGTCCTTCTGGCTTAGGGTTACGTGGCTTCAGCTCCTGCCAGTCTCTAGGCTCCTCACTGACCCCTTCGGCTTCTCAGTTCCTCTGTGCTCCCTATAACCAGTTCCCTAAGTGAAATTCTCTCTTTGAAATACACAAGTGGTCTGTTTCCTAGCTAGACACTGACTGATCTGGATTGCTTTTTAACTTTTCGTTTGAGACACTGATTTGGGTTTTGTGATTGTACGAAACAAGCAAAAACCAGAAGGAGGACCTGGTAACCGCTGAGGAATTGCTTAACGGGATGATTTGTGATGCCTTAGTGCCTAAAAGAATTTACTTTACAGGAGTAAGCCCTTCGGTTCTAAAATGTGTTTCTTTGCTTATTAGGCATTAGAGCATTGGTTGTCTTCATTGCACTTTGGGAAGATTCTTGGAGGCTAATCCTTTGCAGAGAACCAATGTTAATTCTAGAACAGTTGTGTACCTTAGTTTCTGAATAAATTACTGATTGGCGTCTGAACCACCTTGATAGAAATAAGAAGACTTTGTTTTTGCTTTATCAAAAGCAGTTCTGTTCTTAATTCTGGTGAGGCAAAAGTTTATTTTTAGCGAAGGCGACAGTTGCTGGGGTTGGATGGTTGGAGTCTACAGCCCCTGTGTCTAGTAGGAAGAAAATCACAAGAAAAATTTAAAACCATCATCCAACCCGATCTGACCAGAGAGATCTCAAAATTTCATGACAAAGCAGGATCTTGATTAAAAAATTTTAATTACACAAGCATTTTGTAAACCATTTGAATAAAGAAAATTTAAAGGCAAAAATGGGATTTTAAGAGATACATCTGATGGCTGTTCATTAAGACCTAAAAATAAAACTCAAAAGCAAATCTAAAAACTGTTCATTTATATTGGAGAATTTATTCTAGTCGGTGTAATTTGAATAACATTTTTCATTATTTAACTCCTGCTTTAAAAGCTCTCCCCTAACTCGGTAATCTCTAGATTGAGATGTTCGCTTGCTTTTCAGGTTCGGTGTACCACTTTGATAAATCGACATCATCTTGCATTTCTACCAGTGTTCTTCTTCCAGATCCATATGAATCAGAGAGGTAAATTTTTTCCTTGTGGTTTGAACGACATTGTTTATGGGAAGTTAAATAACCCTCATGGTGGGAACTAATCCTCCTTTGTAGCCCCCTGAGCAGAAGAAAATATTCATATATTCTGAGGAAGAGTGTTTTTATGCTTATATTGCATCTGTCGCTGTGAGAGAGTTTCTCCACCCATAAAGCACAGAACGACCATGTGTCAGTCCCAGAAGGAAACTTCTACATATAGAGAGCCCACTATGCCCTGCCCCAACGTCCCCTTTCTTGGGGCCCTGGTGCAGTTGATGCTGCAGCCACGTGCTGGCCTCTAGGGGAGCATTTCGTACTCCTTAAAACTCTAGCCTGGGCAGGAACCAGAATGCCTCCTTTACTCAGCCCTGCCGAGCGGGTCTGGAACACAGGACAATTTCTTGATTCACGAAGGGAGAACAGCAGCGAAAGAAAGACTATAAGAAGCATAAGAAGCTTCCAGTGTACAAATGACAAGCTTCTGATTCTATAAGCTCGCTCCCCAAGTGTCAAGTCCCGTTCCAGTCCATCTTCTCTAAACTCCAGCTCTCCGTTGTTGGTGTGGCTTTCCCTGGTACTCTGCCCGAGACTTTTATCCCCTAGCAACTGGCCTGTTGGTGAGGAAGAGAGCCATCTGCGGTTGGTTTTCTCTTTGCCTTGTTCTTTGTAAGCGTGGCTTGCAAAGCATAACTTCCACTCACTTTCTGTTCTGTTCCCATCTGAAAATAGGCCTCTTCCCTGGTTGAACTGACAGGGCTCACACCACAATGTCACAGTGAATGAATGGCCTCTTTCTTGATGCAGAGCTCTGGTCCATTTACAAAGGGAAGGGTTCAGTGTCTTGGGAGCCCTGAAACACAGTAGCGCGATAATCGTATATATCGGTCTTTTTTGTTACTGGTTGTGATGAGGCTGTAGAAGGATGCCCTCAAAACTCGCAGTGGTTTATGAATGCACACATTTTATTTTACACTCGTGGTTCTGTAAGTTAGCTGAGGTTCAGCCACTTTTGACTGGGCTCCACTCGGCTCCCCTTGGCTCCGCTGGACGAGGCTGGACTCCAGATTGCAAGTTGGGCTCTTCTGGGCTCATATCTGAATTCCAAGCCTGAGGCTAAAGGAGGAACAGCCACCTGGGGCATCTTCTTCCTATGGAGATGAATGGAAATTCAGGGAAGCTGGCAGAAACTCGCCATGCCTCTTATCACCTGAGACCTGGCACGCAGTCCTCCTGCCCATGTTCAGGTAGCAAAGTAGATCCTACGGCCAAGCCCACAGGGATTGAGGCAGGGGTACATCTCGTCTCCCCACTCTGAAGGAGGCACCGCAAGGTCACGTGGCTAAGTAGCAGGACGTTTAATTCTACCACAGGGAAGGAGGAAAGAGTTGGAAGCAATAATTCAGTCCCCTAGTCTACAAAATAAGCCTAAGATCCATGTAACAGAAACTAAAGATGACCAGTTCCGCCAGAATCATTGAATCCCAGTGCCCAGAGAACTGAAATAGTTGTTGATGGGGTGTGTCTTCTCTTATTAAATCCAGTTCAGTAGTCATGAGTGCTGTTTTCCTGTAAATCCAGGGATTGGCAAACTCTTTCTGTAAAGAGCCACGTTGTCCGTATTTTAGGCTTTGTGGGTCTCTGTTGCAACTGCTCAGCTCTGCTTTTGTCACCCCAAAGCAACAACCAACAATACTAAATAAATAGGTGTGGCTGTGTTCCACAAAATTTTATTTACAAAAGGGCGCAGCTGCCAGATGTGGGCCTGGGGCCATAGTTACTAGACCCGTTATGAACTCTTTTGTTGGGAAGTGCTTACTGGATATGTTTTGTTAATTGTTTGTCACTCTTTCATGTGAAAGATTCATCTTGGAGCTTAATTAAAACAGTCTTTCCCTCCTATTTGGCATTGACAAACTTGGGTATAGCTTTAATTACTTTGGAAATGTTTTACTTATCCAGGAAGACAGTGAAAATACTCATTAACTAAAAATATAAATTAAAAAAAAATCTTATATCAAACATTGCTTTATGAATACAGTGAAACCTTGAAAAACACAGGGGTTGGGGCATCGACCCCTATCCCTACCCCATGCAGTTGAAAATCCACATGTAACTTTTAATTCCCCAAAAACTTAACTACTAAGAGCCTACTGTTGACTGGAAACCTCACCAATAACATAAACAGTTGATTAACACATATTTTGTATGTGATATGTGTTATACACTGTATTCTTACAATAAAGTCAGCTGGACAAAAGAAAATGTTATCAAGAAAATCATAAAGGGGGGGTGCCTGTCCGGCTCAGTCAAGTAGAGGGTGCAACTCTTGATCTTGGGGTTGTGAGTTGGAGCCCCATGTTGGGTGGAAAGATTACTTAAAAATAAAACCTTTAAAAAAAAAAGAAAGAAAAGAAAGTCATAAGGAAGAGAAAGGACATTTTCAGTACTGTAAAAAATCTGCATGGAAGTGGACCTGGCAGTTCACACCCATGTTGTTCAAGGGTCGACTCTATATAATAATCCCCATATCAGAGAGCAGATTTTAAACACCACTCCTAAAGATACATGAGTACAAGTTCTTCAGTTTTCAGTGCCAAATACTGTGGTTTAACTTCTCATCCTCCCTTCCTTCCTTCCTCACTGGATTACTATGAACTGATGCTTCGGATTCATTAGCTATCCTGATATTTTGGTGGTTGATATAAACAGTGACATATCCAACTAAAAGAACCATCATTTGGTCCTTTTTTCTATTTAGGGTTTATGTTGCTGAATCTCTCATTTCCAGTGCTGGAGAAGGACTATTTTCAAAGGTAGCAGTGGGACCTAATACTGTTATGTCTTTTTATAATGGAGTCCGGATTACACACCAAGAGGTGAGCGGGGTCTAAGTGGAGGATCAACTTGATTGGTTACAGGGCTTGGTTTCAAACACTCTTAATTTTCCTGTTAGCCCCTTTACTTCAGTATTCGCTAGAAATATGAAGGAATAAACAGTCTTTTTTTTGTAAAATTGATGGGATATTGTCTTATAGCAGTCTTCAGATTTCTATAGCAAAAATACCATACACTGGGGGCACCTGGGTGGCTCAGTCAGTTGAGTGTCTGCCTTTGGCTCAGGTCATGATCCCAGGGTCCTGGGATTGAGTCCCGCATCGGGCTCCCTGCTGTGTGTTGTGGGGGGTGTCTACTTCTCCCTCTCCCTCTGCCTGCCGCTCCCCCCGCTTGTGCTTTCTCTCTCTCTCTCAGTCTCCCTCTCTCTCAAATAAAGTCTTAAAAAAAAATTACCGTATACTGGGTGGCCCATAAACAACAGAAATTTATTTCTCACAGTTCTGGAGGCTGGACGCCCAACTTCAGCGTGTCAGCAGATTTGGTGTCTGGTCAGAAACCACTTCCTGGTTCATAAATGGCTCTTTTCTCTCATTGCAGCCTCACATGGTGGGAGGGACAGGGGATCTCTCTGGGGTCACTTTTAAGTTTCACAGCTACTTTATAGAAAGTGGGATGGCACCCGTCCAGGAGACAGCAATTGCTTTGTACCGTACTACACCCGGTTTCTGAAAAATTGAGACCCAGCTGGATTCGGTCAATAATTAATTTATGATCTTGCACAGGCTACTTTCTGGGAAGGCTCCCTACTTCTGTTTGTGCAAAAGTCATACAGTAGCCTACATCCAGCCAGGAAGGCTTCTATTGCCCAAAAAGCTGAAAATAAAAAGTTAAAGAATAATCACCTCTTGCCTTTAAAATACAATCTTTGATCAGGCGCCTGGGTGGCTCAGTCGTTAAGTGTCTGCCTTTGGCTCAGGTCATGTTCCCAGGGTCCTGGGATCGAGCCCCACATCGGGCTCCCTGCTCGGCGGGAAGCCTGCTTCTCTCTCTCGCACTCCCCCTGCTTGTGTTCCTGTTCTCCCTATCTTTCTCTCTCTCTGTCAAATAAATAAATAAAATCTTTAAAAAAAAATACAATCTTTGATATATTTTCCAGAATTCAGAGGTGTTTTTGTTTTTGCTTCTTCACGTCACAATTAACTTCCTTACATGTCCACTTAAGGGCAAAAAGTCTGCTGCTTGAGCCTGGCTTGTAGTCTCCATCTGGTCTCACTTGCATTAAGGGTGTGGGACTTGGGCTTGTTGCTCATATCCCTCATTCATGTACTTCCCTTTTTCACTTATTGCTATGGAATGCTACGGGGGAAATGCCGTGAAGTAATCAAGTGTTTGCCCGTTCAAAGCCGTCGTACAGACAAAGACGGCTTGGCGCTCACACTGAGCCATGGTCTGGCACGCGGTACCCCTAGTGATGGCCAGACCTCTGTGTCCGCAATCCTGACAGTCCAGGAAATTCAGCATATGAAAGGTGGCTCAGGATATTGATACACTATCTATCTATTCTAACATTTTACAGATAACAAAACTGAAACCCAGAGTGGGTGAGCCATTTGTCCGAGGTCACAAATACAGTTATTAGCAGAGTTCAAGCAGGATTTCAAATAGAATCTGGCTCCCGGCAAAACTCACTATATGCTGTGCTGTGGAAATGAATGGGGCACCCTCCTTGCCTTCATGAAATTTAGATTCTGTTGGGGAGAGGTGCCTGGGTGGCGCAGTCAGTTGGACTCTTGATTTTGGCTCAGGTCCTGATGTCGGGGTCGTGGGATCAAGCCCTGCATCAGGCTCCGTGCTCAGGGGGGAGTGTGCTGGAGATTCTCTCTCTCTCTCCCTCTGCCCCTCCTCCCACTCTCTTTCTAAAGTAATAAATAAATTTTTCGATTCTTTTGGGGAGATAAGAAAAATATACAAGTAATGGCAACGTAAGGTAGATGGTCCCAAGTACCATATATCAGTTCATATAACAGGGCTGGAATATTAAGATCCATGAAGATTTTTTTCACTTTCATCACTGCTGTATCCCCTACACCTAGAACAGTGCCTGGCGTATGATAGGCACTCAGTAAATATTTGTTGAATGAATATCAGAACCACATAACAGCATAATTATAATTTAGGGGCAGGAGAGGCAGTATACCTCTGAGAGTCAGCAGTTCTATATAAAAATGTGGTCCTAGGGGCGCCTGGATGGCTCAGTCGGTTAAGCCTCCGACTCTTGGTTTTGGCTCAGGTCAAGATCTCAGAGTTGTGGGATGGAGCCCCACGTGGGGCTCCCTGCTCAGCAGGAAGTCTGCTTGTCCCTCTCCCTCTGCTCCTCCCCCTGCTCTCTCTCTCTCTCTCTAAAATAATAAATTCTTTAAAAAAATTTTTTTTTTTTATTGGTCAGAGAGAAAGCACAAGCAGAGAGAGCTGCAGGCAGAGGCAGAGGGAGAAGCAGGCTCCCTGCTGAGCAGGGAGCCCCATGCGGGGCTCGATCCCAGGACCCTGGGATCATGACCTGAGCCGAAGGCAGACGCTTAACCGACTGAGCCACTCAGGCACCCCTAAAAAATTGTTTTTAATGTAATCCTGTTTGCTCCAAAAAACTGCTCTGCTGACCTCAGCAGATGCTGGGGTGTGGGTTGGAGTGGGGCGGTGGGCTGGAGAAGTGAAGACTCTTGGTGCCTTGCAGAGAGTGAGTGCTTGTTGTAGGTAAGAGAGCACACTGGGAATGGGTGACACCATCTGCTGGTCACACTGATCCCCCACTTGTAACAAAGGTGAAGGACTCCGCTTGAAGCACAATTTTGCATTCCTCATAGTTCCGGTTCCATTTGACGTTCTTGTGTGTTTCTTTTGCCTCATCTTCTTCATAGCGGGGCTTCCAGGGATCTGGCGGTTGGTCAGAGCGGCAGATCCGACCACCGGAGTCAGTAAGCCACAACAGGCTTCCCTGGCACGGGGCAGTGCTTGGACAGGGGGGCAAGAGAGGGGACGTCCTGCCAGCCCGAGATGGTCCAGAGGCTTGTGGCACAGGGGCCACCATCCGGAGCAGGAGGAGGGCAGGGAACTCCCAGGAAAGAGAGGGTCAGAGAGGGGGCTGATGTGTCTAGGTGACGTGTAGTACAGAGAGGAGTCTCTGGGCCACAGAGCTCCGAAGGACAGAGGCAGTCTGGAGGCTTTGTGGTGCTGGGCTTTCTCTCACGAATCTGCTAGCAGATGTGGGGTCAGGTGTCCCAGGGGAAGCAGGCCCGAAGTGGCTAAAGCTCCGCTTTGTTTGGGCTATTTAAAGAACAACTGGATGTGTAAATTTGAGTTTGGTGCTGGAGGGCTTTGGAGGTAATAGGTCTTAGCCTGCAGTGAAGAAATAAACCACCTAGGGGCATCGGGTTATATTTTTGTGTGTCTTTGTCGGGAACTTTCAGTCCTTTTTCTCATGTAAAATGAGGAAAAGTCAGTGCGTAAGAAGTTGAGCTGCCTGATGCTGCCCACAGACGGCTTTCGCACCATTGATGTGTGGAGGGATGCCTCTGGTTCTTTTCATGCATCTAGCACTCACACAGCGAAACGGAAGGAGAAATGAGTTAATGTTGCTGATGTTCTCTGAGATTTGGGGAGAAAGGCCCTATCTAACGTGCGCTTTCTTGTTTTCTGCAGGTTGACAGCAGGGACTGGGCTCTTAATGGGAATACCCTCTCCCTCGATGAAGAAACGGTCATTGATGTGCCTGAGCCCTACAGCCACGTGTCCAAGTACTGTGCCTCCTTGGGACACAAGGCAAATCACTCCTTCACTCCAAACTGCATCTACGATATGTGAGTATGACACCCAGCTTCCAGGGTGGATCCGGGCCCCATCTGCCGGGGCCCCGCGACTGACAAGGGCCTCTCAGAGCTGTCATCCTGCCCCAGGTGAAGGACGCTCCTTCTGGGTTCCTGAGGCTCCTCTCCCAGACGTCTCCTGGTTAGGACTTGACACTCGGAGTCTAAACAGCCCCTTCCCTGGCCTTGGTAACTCAGACAGGGCAAAGTGCTTGGAAGGGTAGAAACGCTATGGAAATGAGACACTTCTTGGTTGCTGTTTCGTCGATGCTTTTTTGTCCTTCAGTGGTCTCACTCTGGAAAATTAAGGATAGTGTTATTTGAAATATTAGAAAAATTAAAATTGTTCTGCACAGTGAAGACTCGTGAACTCTTTTATGTTGTGAAAGGAAGGAAGAAAAGAAAATGCCAAGCCTAGAGCACAAGGTCTTGGTGCTGGAAAAGACGGATTAAATCAGAGTCCCCATTATTTGACAATAAAGAGGAAAGAAATACTGACACATGCTACAGCGTGGATGAGCCTTGAAAATATTATGCCAAGTGCAAGAAGCCAGTCTCATAAGACCCGATAGCGTATGATTCTATTATTGATAGGACTTGGCCATTACAGCAAAATTCATAGAGACAGAGTACAGATCAGTGGTTGCCCAGGGCCCGGGGAAATGGGGTTGCTGGCTAATGAGTATGGGGTTTCTTTTGAGGGTACCGCACTATACTAAAATTAGATAGTGGTGATGGTTGCCTGCCTGAAACCCACTGAATTGCATGCTTCAAATGGGTGAATTTTTAGGGTATACGATTTGCATCTCAACAAAGCTGTCATTTTAAAAAGTCAAATAGTCCTGGGTGCTTGGGTGGCTCAGT